CCAACCTCTCTCTGGGCAGTGAGCTGGTAAGATAAATTGCCAATCATGCATTTTACCAGAAAAAGGTCAGAAGAGCACTGGTGAGTTCATTCAGATGAATGTGCTTGAAATTCACCTTGTTAAAGGACTGCAGACATTAGTAACAAAGCATGGATGCTCTTTGAACACAATGATCTGTTATTAATAAACAATTACTTATTAACGAGTCTTTTTCGCCCTGATCTCCCAGTGGGTCTGGGCCAGCGCTCCAGCCAGGCCCTCGCATTCCGGAACTGAGCTGCCACAGGCCACTTCAGCCTCCAAACCGGGGAAGGCAGAAATGCGGCAGCCGCCCACCGTCTCCGGTCACACTCCTGTACGAGGTCAGTCTCCAGGCAAGTGCACTCCACAGCCACGGCCGCTCCAGTCCCGCTGGCCGTCCCCAGACCGGGACCTGCTTGCCATGCAGGGCGCTTCAGGAAAACCGCGACACGGTGGACACCCAGCTCTGAGAGCTGAATGCTAAACAGTGGAAGAGGCTGACCTGAGAGCTAAGTTATGGGACTAGCTACTGATCAAGAGGGAGACAAGCCTGTGCTCCACCTAATTTATAAATTAATACTTACCAGGGAACCTCCAGGCCGTTCCAGAACAGAAATCAGGAATGGAAGAAGTGCCCGATCCCCACAAAGCAGGCCGGGAAGCAGGCGGCCCAGCACTGTGAGCATGAGGCCCGGGCCCTGGAGGGACAACTCTGTGCGGCTACTCGCTGGCTCTAAGGGACTGCACTGCTCGAGCCTCGGCTCCAAGGTACAGGCATCTAAAGCAGCGGTTCTCAACCTGTGGGTCGCGACCCCTTTGGCGGTCGAACGACCCTTTCACAGGGGTCGCCTAAGACCATCCTGCATATCAGATATTTACATTACGATTCATAGCAGTAGCAACATTACTGTTATGAAGTAGCAACGAAAATAATGTTATGGTTGGGTCACAACATGAGGAACTGTATTTAAAGGGCCAGAAGGTTGAGAACCACTGATCTAAAGCATGAGAGTTTTCTGAAACTGAGTTAACTGCACAAAGACTTGATAACTGTTGGCTACCACTCTTATAAGGGAACGAATCTTCTGACTTTCCACCGCACACTACTAGACAGGTTACATTAATATCCCATTCTTCTTCCTAAAGATAAAAATCATTCACTAGGTCTGTCACTGGCTAAATCATTCCGAGAAAAGGATTGGGGAGAGAAACCAAACTCACACACCACAGTAAGAATATAAACTGCTACAACTTTTCTAAGTGGTAAATTGGAAATATGTATCAAAATCCTTAAAACTTAGCATGTATTTTGATCCTGCATATCCACTTCTAGAAACTTCTCTAAGGATAAAAATCTCACAAGTATATACAGAGCAGAGATGTGTGTAGGGGTGGAGAGTCACTGCTGAGTTATTGGAAATAGTGGGGGCAGGGGAGTAAACTAATGTATAACAAAAATAAACTGCTTAAGTTATCCAAGCTCCACACAATGGAATGAATGGAATGTTCAGTTACTAAACTATTGTAACTGATAATACAGACACAGAAAGATTCAGATGTTAAGCAAAAAGCTAGAAATAATTATAAATGTGTATAGCAAAAGCCCATATTTGTTACAAAAAAATTATATATTAAAAACTACACACACACACACACACACACACAAAAAAAAGATTTGATGTTTGATGAGATATGCATTCAGGTAGTGGACTTATGAGTATTTTATAGTTTTCAACTTTTTACTTTTCTGTATTTCAGTTTTTCTACCATAAACATGCATTTCTTTAAAATACCAGGGATATTAGCTGATCATCATAAACAAATTATCAGTTTGGCTCTGAAATATACAATTAAGCTAAAAGGATGACAAGTTTGTTCTCTTAAGTACTTAGCAGTATGTAAACTTTATTATTCTCCCCATTTTTAACTGAGAAAACTGAGGCATTGAGGGGTCAGATGACTAAATGAAAGTCCTTCCTACTCCAAAAGAAGGAAGTGATGGTCATATAGTATAAGAAACAAAATTGGAAAATGTGCCAATTTTCTGTATTTTTGGAAACCAATTCTTATAGCATTATGTTGGGCTTATAGACCTTATAAAGTGGCATTTGACATAGTGATAACATAGTAATTTACCACTATACTGTGGCTTAAATTTACATTTTGAGTCTCTAAGCAAATGTTGGGAGGAGCCTTCTTTCCAGCTCATCACCTTGAGCGTTCTATGCATGGGAAAGGTTGTCTCCTCTCAGAGCCAATCAAGTTCACGGAAATGACTGGGGTATAGTACTTGTGGCTCTTGTTTCCACAATCAGTGACTACTAAGTGATAAAAACAATTTTACAAGTAAAGGTTGTAAAATGTGGCCTCACGGCAATGTAGTTCACTCACAAATACTGAAGTGAGCTCCTCCGACACTATTCCAGGCACTGGGGGTACAATGATGAGCCCAGGCGTCTGCCCTGGGAAAGGCGTAGTACAGGTAGTCACACATTCGAAGGTCATAGTTTTTCTTAGCAGCTAAGGTAAAAAAGCATTGCTACTCGAAAAACTTGCTATGTCCACTTCAAGAGACGGTTTTAGGAAATACTCAGTGAGAGGGGAGCATGACACCACCGTGAGTCTGATTCTGAGGGGAGATGACAGACACCCGTATTTTGAACAAGAACCTCAGCTAATGCAGCTGGAAGCGATCTGAGGTCCAGGCGTGGAGAAACCCACCAGGAACTACAGCCATTCAGAAGGGAATGAGCATTCAGAAGACAAAACTCTAGAGCAGTGGAATTTGAACTGAGTAATAAACCCAACCCTCTTGTGATTAATTCATTCTCTGACTGGTAATTGACAACTCCAGCAGATTAAAAGGATGGGTTCCAGTAGAGGAACTTACCAGCACCTCCTCCTTAACCTCTTATAGGAGATTGAAATTTGCCTCAATCTAGGCATTTGGGGGAAAGGTGAGCTTAAGTAGAGGTCTACTACCCATTTTAGAGGTAAGCTTTGAGAAAAAGAAAGTCGCCAGTCATCTGCAAAAAAAAAATGCTAGAGGGACAAACATTTTGCGGAACCAACTACTACCACTCGTTTTATGCCCCATTTCACAATGCCTGGTATCTGAACAAGCCACAGGGTCCCGAAGTACATCAAAAACCTGTTCGTTTCCTCTCCTACTCAGGCGGCATAATAATGGTTTTGTGAAGGTACCATGTCCCGCAGCAATTTCAATAAACTCATTCTGAGATTTAAAAATGCCTTTACAGAAAAGTTCAATCAGAAACTCCTTATTGGAGCTACTTAAAGGAGTTTCACAAATCGTTTTAATGCCATCACTCTTGTCCCGTATTTCTCAATGTAGATTACTTAAAAGTTCCTGAGTTCTTATCAAACCTCCTACAGAAAGAATTCAATATTTTCTTTTTTTATCTTTATTGTTGAAAGTATTACAGATGTCCCCCCTTTTTACCCATTGACCCCCTCTCTCAATATTTTAAATATATATATGTATGTATATATACAGCTACAAGCAAACCCATCAAGACAATATAAATGTTTCAAGTAAACTATTAAAGTGAATTAAAAGAAAAACATAGTTCTCAGAGGTAGACAGAAATCATAACTTTGAGGGGTGATTAAGCACCTTACGTCATCTCAGGACAAGGGCATCCCAACAAATACATGCCTAGTTAGAGGTACGAGCAGCACCCCACTATCCAGCTGGGCCCCGCTCCTGCCCCCACGTAACCCGGGAGCTCGCGAGCCTGCCCCTCATCTGTGCAAAGGGATTAGTGAACTGCCTCCCGCTGCCGGGGCTGAGATTTCCAGGTGCATTATATCATTTGTCCGGCATTTGTTTTATTATCTACACGTTTGATCGGACCGGTTTCCATGATGTGCCCGCCTTCGACCGCGCAGCGCAGGATGCCGGCGGAGAAGCACAAAGAAGCGCATCTGTCCGGGGCGGCATCTGCGTGCAATTTCAGGCCGGCGCTGCCCGGACTGGCGCGGGAGGCGAAGTTCCCCGGGAAACTTTCCCACCGGCGGCTGCCAAACCTCCGCCGCCTCCAGCTGCAGCGCAGCGGCGACTCGGTCCCTGCAGCGCAGCCTCCTGCGTGCGGCTCACACAAAGGATGCCCACAGGACGCGTGAGCCGCGAAGTTGCTCGCGGATCCAAGGCCACCCAACGGCAGTGCCACTCGCTCCTGGCGGGTTCCTCTCTGCGGTTCTGATCGCAGTTCCCCGTGCTAGCCAGAAAACGAAAATTTTGCCAAGGTCCCCCCGGGGATTTTGCAGGAGCGCAAGGAAAATGAGGAGGACACCGGTGAAAAAATTACCGGCGTACGGAGGGACCAGCTTGCAGCCGGGGATAGAGGTGTAA